TTTGGATCCATGGCGGAGCAAGACATGCCCGCTTCTGTATATGTGCGGCTTACTCCGAGTTAGCCCTTCGCCCGCCTTCCTTTCAGCGTCTTTGTTTAAAACAGAAAACGTGTTTGATCGGGTCGTCTCCGTCGCTGCAGAACATCCTCCCTCCCTCCGCGTCAGCCGCCCGACCGTTGTGCACAAGGGTCTGGACGGTCGAGCCCTTGATGCGCGCCATTTACGTCCTCCTGGCACCCAGCACGCCTTATCGCATTGCATTCCATCTTTCACACTTGATCCTTCTACTGCATCCCCGGATCTCCATAAACCAATGCCCCTCCTCTCTCCGTGTCGGGCTACGCGGATTCAACCTCCCGCTCGCATTTCCTTTCCGAGGGCTGCATGCCGTCTGTCGTTTACATACTCCCTCCAGCTTATAGGCTATCTGATGGTCTGAGGCGGATCCGAGCTGAGGGATCTCTGGGCATTTGAAGGAGCGACCAGTCACGGCTGCAAAAAGTGCACCCCTTCGTCGGGGCGGCGGCGGATGCGGGCGTCTCTTTTATTTGGGCGACGCGACGATGATGGAGTGTTTGTGATTCGGAAACCACCGGCAGCCTATAGCTTCCCTAATCCTCCAACCACTGGCCGCCTTTCCGCCTAGTTCTACTTCCTAGCCTCACCACCTCCCCCGCCTTTCCCCCACCGCCTGTGTTACACCTCACGCGCTAGCTGGCATGGATACTGACACTGGCGCTGGCGGGGCGAGGCGCAACTCATGGACCTCCACGGCCACCTTTTAGGCTTCATTCTCCGCCTCGCTCCCTTTCCGCGTCGTTTTATCTTCATCTTTATCTCTTCTTTCCTTCCTCTCTATACGCCTCGCCTCGCCCCGCCTCCTGCCGAATGCCTCGCACCAGTTCACCTCCCATCATGGTCCAATCGCCTCGCCCATCGTCCTTTGCTTCGCTCCCCTCTTTCACTTGTTCCTTCCTTCGTTTACTGCCTCCCTTCCTCCCACCCACCTCGCCCCTCACTCCGTCCCCTCATTGCTTCGCACATCGGCCTCCGCAATACGCCAAACGACGCTTCCTCCTCTTTCGCCCTAACTCCGCCCGCCCTTCCAGCACTCTGCACCGACACTAGCACGCCGCCCGCTTCCCCTTACTTCCTCCCTCCCGCTCCAACCCGACGCGACGCACGCTCCTGCTTCCCCTCCCCTACAACGTCTCCCCGTTTCGCCTCCGCTCCCTGCATTTCTCCGCCTGGCTCCTCCCCTTCTCCCGATCCAACGCGACGCGATGCATCTCTCGTCCTTTCTTCACCTCGCCACCTTCATGTCCGCCTTCCTCCCTTCCTCCCTTCTACCTTACCCTTTCGCTTTCCCTCTGCCCTCGCTCCCCATCCTCCCTTTTTTCCCGTATCCGCCGCCCTCCGCCGCCCCCCTTCAAACGACCCGCCGAAACGACGCACCTCCGCCTTTGTCTACCTCCCACCCTGCGTCCTTTCTTCTGTCTTCACACTATTCCTCCCTGCTCCCACCCTCCAACGTCCTACGCCGACCCCGACACCGCGCGGCGTGGACGCATTTCACCTCGAGCGAAACAGGGCACTTCCACCTTCCCTCTCTCCTTCCACCCCCTCCCACCCTCTCCCCTCTCCCGCTTTCCCTCTCCTTCCCCGTCTCCGCGGCCCTCCGACGCTCCCTGCGACGCTCCCTTCCTCCCTCCCTCCTTCCCCCTCTCCTTTCCCGTCTCCGCGGCCCCTCCCTTGTCTCCTTCCCTTCCCCTCTCCCGCTTCCCCTCCCCCTTCCCTCGCGAATGACCTCTCGCTCCAGAGACGCCCCGAGCCCGAGGGACCTACACCACCCAAGCGGCGCACAGGCAGCTAAACAAACGACTCGGAAAGGGCGCCGCTGCCGCTGACTGGCAGTGGCGCCGTCGGCGTCGATGCCGCAGTATCTCCTGGGCTCTGACCCTTAACCTAATCACGATCCATTCACCCGTTTAAAAGGGCGGGCAGGTCGATACGCACTTATCGTCTTGTCTTCTCTATCTCACCTTACCTCCCGATTCCCACTACACATACATCCATCCCCCCATCGAACACACTTCATACAAGCCGTACATGTTAGTTCGACTCATGACTTATAGCACTAGTCTCGCAATTCGAAATGTCAGATACTTCAATACGATTCCTAAGTGAGGGCGCACGTCCTCCGTGCATTTTGGGATCCTCATTAGCAGGCAGGCAGGCGGGGCACAACGTACATCAACATCAACATCAACACGAACGCGAACAGAGAGAAGAAAGAAAGAAAGGGAGAAGAAAGGAAGATATATAATAGGTAACTAACTGGCTACGCATACGAGTCCGCGGCGGGTAGATACGGTGTACGGGGTGGTGAGGGGAGGGCGGCAACGAAGAGGGGAAGAGGGGAAGAGACGCAAGCATCTCACTTCTTGGTGGCCTTGACGATGGAGACGACGATGATGATGATGATGACGGCGATGGCGGCGCCGATGATGATGCGCATCTGTGGGGGAGGGGGAGTTAGTTTTGGTGTGGGTTGATAGACGGGAGGTGGTGGAAAAGGGTGTGGGAGGAAGGAAGGAAGGGGATGCGGAAGGAGGGAGCGGTAAGACGAGGAAGGGAGTGGGTCGGTGGAAAACGAGGGGGAAGGCTCGTGGGGCGGAGAGGAAAGACAGGGTCGTAGAGCCAAGAAGGAAACGAGACAGGGAAGGCAGGGGGGAGGCAAGGGAAGAGAGCAGGAGCGGTGGGAAGGCGAAGAAAGGAGGGACGAAGCGGAGGGAAGTGGGGGAATGGGAGCGCAAAGAAGGACGGGGTGGAGAGGAAGGGTAAGGGAGGGGCATGAAAGGACAGGGAGGGAGCATATAAAAGGGAGGGAAGGAGTTGGAGGAAGGAGGTGGTAAGGCGAAGAAAGGAGGCGGAGGGAGGAGCGGTGGGAAGGCAAGGAACGGAGGGAAGGCGAGGAAAGGAGGGAGGCGGAGGGAAGTAGGGGAGTGGGAGTGCAAGGAAGGACGGGCGAACGGGACACAGGGAGGGAGGTGAAGGAAACGGTTGGGAGATGGAAGGGCGGGGAGGGAGGATGGGAAAGGTAAATAAGCGAGGAGCGGAGGAGGGAAGGTGGAGAGCAGGAGGGGGGGTTAAACAGTTTCGGGGGGCGGATGGCAGGGATGATAATTTGTGACGAGGGGATGGAGTGGGACAGTGGCGACCGGGCAATGAAGGAGGAAGGATGATAAAAGGAGAGGAAAGGCAAGGGTGGGGAAAGGGAGGAGTCGCAGAGACAGGGATGGATATGGGAGGGAGGGAGGGAAGAAGCAGGTGGGCAGGTGGGAATGGAAGGCAGGGAAGCGGAAGTGGGCATGGGAAAAGCACGAGGAGGGGTAGGTAGGGTAGAAACGTACCTTCATGTCTTTCCACCTTCATAGCACAAGTATACGTGCATGCGTGCAGTCGGAGGCGAGTCGGAGGCACACGGTGGCGGGTGCGAGTCGAGTCGGATGCAGGACGGCGGTCACGGAACGAAAGCGAATAATGAAAACAAAGGAGGAAAGGAGAAGCGGGCACAAGTGAGCAAGGTAACCAGCTCTCAATGCGGGGGGCAGACGTACCACATGTTCTGAAATGTTAGGTTAGCGTCGTCGTCGGCTATGAGAGGGAAAGAGAAAGCCCACCTTCCGTACGCGGTTTGCGCCGCGGCGGAATCCCTGTGCGGAGACGGCGAGGTTGTCTGTGCGGCAGAATACATTAGCATTGTGGAAGAGTCGGAGTCGGAGTCGCACGGACCTGTCTTGTCTTGGAGCGAATCAAGCCGCTCGCCACGCTCTGCTACTTTGGTGATATTCTCGCGCATGATGCCGACGGTGTCGTCGATTTGGGCCTGGATGGCGGCGGTCTTGGCAGTGCCCTGGCCTTGGCCTTGGCTCCCGCCTGCTGCGGGTGCACCACCGTTGCGGGGAACGTACGGGTCGTATGGCTCTGACCTAAGGCATTGTTAATATTCATTCCGACTCCACGATTCAGGAGGGGACGCACATGAGGGGTACGTGGGGGTCTGCAGCGAGAGTCAGCAACGACGGCAACGACGACGAGGACAACGAGAACGACGGACCGTTTCAAACGAGGAAGAGTTTAGTTGGCGGTCGGGAGTAGCAGCAAAGACGACTGACGACTGGATGCACGGAGGCTGTCCCTTCCCACGCCGTGACACCCGTTGCTTGCGCAGCGACCGCGTCACACTCTAGCCCATTACTCCCTCAAACTTACCATTGCGCGCCGGCATCTCCATCCGATGCGGTGTGCGATGCCGGGCGACGCGCGGGCGGCCTCTCTTCCTCTTTCCCGGTCTGAGTTGTCCTCGTCGAACACGGCGCGCTCACAACGCATCGACAATTTTGAAGGCCATGGCGACACTCATACCAACGCACATGAATAGAACTCTGCTCGCTCGCAGCCATCGGAATTACATCCAATCAAGATGATATTGCGGGCAGGAAATAGCACTTGCACACGGGCGTCGGAGAGTGACCGAGATCCGGTGAACCATCGTCGAGCTCGAGTCCTTCGTGTTCTGGGCCCTCTCCTCTAGTCTGCGACGCTCGTCCACAAGTGGTCTCCCCCACCCGCTTCGAGTTCGACCCTCTGACCAGATTTCGGCGCCTCTGGTTCTACTAGTACACCCGCGACAATCCGCGAGAGAACCCGAAGCCTAGTCCGAGTCCAGTCCAACCCCAATCCCCTCATCCAATGTGCCTCCTCCCACAGCCAAAACAGGTCTGCTCTCTGGGTCTCCTCAACCCTTCACCACTGGTGGCCGCGGCGTGTCTCGTAGTCCAGAAATACGTAGTGTGAATACATACAGCCTGCACCCTTGTTTTGGTTTTGGTTTTCGACTCGCGCACTCACTGCTCCAACCTACGCTTGTAGGCAGTAATAGTAACATGAACTTGAATTCGCATTTCGTACCCAAGAAAAATAGACCAGAAAAAGAACAGCCCAGCCCCGAATCGAACAGGGTACTGCCTCCAACAGGTAGCAGCAATACATACATGAAGAGAGGACGTGTTACCGGTACACCACTGGGCCATGCTTGTAGATGTAGAAGTATAACTAAGTACTGAGAGTCTGAGTTGAGTCTGATTAGTTCAATTACTGCACTGCTTTGCTCTGCTTCGCACTTTCGGATCCAAGTTAATGTAGCTTACAGTGAGTAACCCGGGTCCAAATGGCACCGAGTGCCTGGCAGAACCAGAGCCCAGAAGGAAGCCTTATCAATAACATCATCCCCCACAAAAAACAGAAGGGAAGGGAAGGGAAAAAAAGTTGTTGTCCAAGGACCATGACCCAACCCCGGATCGAACAGGGCACTTCCTCCAGAACTTCAGTCCCTATCTTTGATGGGTACAGGATGTGTTACCACTACACCACTGGGCCATGGCAATAAGAGCATAACTTGAACTAAGTGCTGATTCGAGTCCGATTAGTTCAACTGCCACTATACCACACTTTGCTTTGCTTCGAATTTTCCGAGTTACATGTTCAGTGAGCCCAAAGGCAGAGAGTGGCTGGCAAAGCCGGGGTTTACAAGTAGATAAGGAGAGGACATGTAACCAGCACACCACTGGGCCTTGGCTACACTTCTAGAAGTATAACCAAGTACTGAGAACCTGAGTCTGATTAGTTCAATTACCACACTTTGCTTTGAATTTTTAAACTCGAGTTACAGCTCTATTCAGAGCAATGCGGAAAATGGAAATTTTTTCTGCTGATTGCTCATGTTTGGTCGAGCCCCTGAGTTGCCTGGCAAATCTTGTTTCCTCGAGGCTTTACTGGACTCTGCTCTTTCATTTCAAGAAAATATGTACATAGCATGTATGTATGATTGTTGTATTTGTTTTGGAGCATACATAGCAGTGATGAAGAAGCCGGTCCCTGTCGTCCACGTAACAACGGTGCATCCCTGGGGCCCCGCCTCGCGCAGAACACCGAGCAGCGCGTGCTCCTGGCGCACGAAGAACAGGGAGCCAAAGCACACCACCGCGGCGGGGGGCATACACGGCCCCACGGGTGCACTATGCGGCGAGTGTAGAGCGCAGGCGCCGCAAACTACTAGTACGGCTGCCGCCGCACGGAAACATCCGAGTTGCGCGACGCGTGCCGGTCCTCGTTGGGAGTAAGGTTCCTATCCGCCTTTCTGGTTGGGTCAGATGCGCTGAGGCCAAAGTAGCCGTTTTTCTCGCCTTCGAGAGGCGGGACAGTGCACGCAACTGCGAAGCGGACACAGACGCGTACGGCGGGCGCGGTGCAGGCCGTGGAGATACTGTGTGTCCACGGCCTTTTAGGTCCATGAATGCCCACGCGACCCTGAGGCTGGTGTTCGATGCAGCCTGCACAAGGTTCAGGTGTGCTGCTGATATGAACTTGACGGCAGGAAAAACAGGCTCATTAGCCACTCGGAAATGACGTGCATTGTGGGGCTTGCTCACTTGCATTGTCCAGACCAACCCCATACCTCTCATACCCCTCCCATCCCCCGAATGTGCCCACAATCTGGCGAGCAGCGACTGAGTCCGATTGGCACTCGGGCTGCCTGGAACTGTGAAGATTGAAAATTCTCAGTCTCGCATTTATCACACTGATCAGGGGACAGATGTGCTCAGACAGCTTCCACGACTCTCTGGTACATATAGGTGGACTTGTGAAGGAGCGCAGACAGAATTTGAGCAAGGGTAAGGAGGATAAAGGACGAAGAAAGTTTTGGGCATAATTAGGCGCCCGATACAAACCTAGCCAAACAACTCGAAAAAATTTCCATTTTCCGCATTGCTCTGAATAGAGCTGTAATGTACAGTGAATAACCCGACTTCTATGGCACTGAGTGACTGGCAGAACCGGGGCTCGGAAGGAAGTACCAATAACCTCCCCCCAAAAAAGAAGGAAAGGGAAGGGAAAAAACATTGTTAACCACATCAATGGCCCAGCCCCGAATTGAACAGGGTACTTCCTCCAATATAAAGGTACCTTCATAAGATAAGAGGACATTTTACCAGTACACCACTGGGCCATGGCTGCAAAAGTATAACTTGAACTAAGCTCTGGCTCGAGTCCAATTAGTTCAACCACCACACTTTGCTTTGCTTTATTTCGAATTTTCAGACCCAAGTCAATGCGCAGCGACTAAACCAACCTCAATGCATTGAGTGACTGGCAGAACCGGGGCTCGGAAGGAAGCAAATACCAACAACCTCCCCCACAAAAAAAGAATGAATGGGAAGGAACAGGGGAAAAAATCTAGACAATTTTTCAGTTGATCATGGCCCAGCCCTGAATTGAACAGGGCACTTCCTCAGATATTCATCTTTCAGGTGGACAAGGAGAGGATGTGTTACCAGTACACCACTAGACCTTGGCTATAGTTGTAGAAGTATAACTAAGTACTGAGAGCCTGAGTGACTGAGTCTGATTACCACACTTTGCTCTAAGTAATTTGCTTCGAATTTTAAACCCGAGTTACTGTACCATTTCGACCAAGTCTTCAGGTGACGCATGACGTGGCCCTCTGAACTGAAGACTTTTGGTCGTGGTGACGGTGACATTGAAAATTTTCAGCCCAAATAGGCTTAAAAATGTCTTGCCGGCATCTGCCGGCCTTCCATTTAAGGCAATTTTTGATCGTATTAGTCAGAATGAAGACCTAATAAATTCCGAGGTAATGGCCCTAGTGGGCGAAGCCTGGATACCCCAGTTTCTTGTGTCACTACCAAGGAACTTGTCCATCATTTTAGTAAATGCAGGCAAAGAATATAAGCAGGCTATAGTACTTGGTGTTTGGGGCCATTGCTTCATCTTGAGTTATCCTGACCCTCTCGAAAAAGCCGCATCATAGAGACAACGAATCGTTTATAAGTCTGTTGTGTCTTGCAATGAGTCTCATCTGGTGATCTCACCATGTTGGTTGCCCCGATTCAGTAGCGTCGAAGCTAATCATTGAATTTGAACCACGCGCTTGGACTTCGGCGCTGACTTGCCTGGCAGCAAGTTGACCCGAGCCGCATTTTAGGATCCTTGGAAGGAGAAGTGAAAAATCATTATGGGCCTGGTGGTCAGACAGTTGCATGAACTGATGGGAGATATCTTCAAGTACACCTTTTGGAATTTTCTGAATTTGCCAATTCTTTCATGGTTGAATTGTAGGAAGAAAAAAATCACTTGTGCATCAAAAAGAGGAAAGTGTATTCTTAGTGTTGAATATTTCAATGTCTTCTGTGGTTGCAAGCAGGATGCCAGAGGGGGGAGCCTCGACGCCTCTGCAGAAGTGGATGCTTACATACATCAGTGGCTGTGCGGTGGCTATACACCACTTTTTTTTTGAGCACTTTTACTATAAAAGGCGATTTTGCCCTAATCGGGTACAGATGGTGGTCGATAGGGAACCCGGATACTTAAAAGTATCCAGGCACTGAAGAGCTTAGGTGACGCGTGACATGGGCTGAAGACTTGGTCGAAATGGTACAGTAATGTACAGTGAGTTACCCGACCTCTATGGGACCGAGTGCCTGGAATAGCTGGGGAATGGAAGGAAGGATCAATAACCTCCCCCCAAAAAAGAAGGAAAAGGGAGGGAAAAAACCTTAGCTACCCAACCCGAATCAAACAGGGTACTTCCTCAAAATCTTTATCTCCCTGTGTATATTGAAAGAGGACATGTTACCAGTACACCACTGGGCCATGGCCACAGGAGTATAAAGTATAACTTGAACCAAGTGCTGACTCAAGTTCAATTAGTTCAACTACCACACTTCGCTCTGCTTTGCTTTTCGGAGTTACATGTACAGTAAGTAAGCCCAAAGGAACTGAGTGACCGGGTGAGCCTGCACTCAAAAGGAAGGAAATACTGGTAACCCTCTCAAAACGAAAAGAAAGCAAAAGAATTTGAAGGAAACAACTCAGCTTGAGACCACAGAGCACTGAATAGTGCATCAAATTTTGAAATCCAAAAAAGCCAAGTTTGAGGAGAACTTCCAAAGAATAGAAATGTCGGCGCATCGGCGCATCCAGCCCAGAAGTGTCGAAAGAATAGACTCGAAGGCAGGATGAAAAAGCACCAGCACACTAAGAAAGCATAGAGAGGCCTTGAAAGAGGGCTCCAAGCCTCAAAAAACTGTGCGGAGAGGGTGAGCGGCGCAAGCAGAAACGAATAAATCACAATGAGTTGTCGCAGACAGAAGAAACCGGACGCGCTCCTGCGTCTCCCCTCCTTGTCTCATGCACAGGCCGGCTCGCAAGCTCGCCTTGCCCGACCTACCACCAAAATGATCTCTCCCCTGCACTCCGAGTCGTTCCTGGTCGAAACTTCAATGGAGAATCCCTGTCTTGAGGGAAAGATTCCAATCCATCCTTGGGCCCACTTGATACTGCATGCGCGCGTCAAGAGCGTCGGGGACACGCAACATGTGGTCTGACATGGCAACTAGGGAAGAGAGGCACAGGCCCTAATATATACCATTTCAAATACCATTACTGAACCTTGAGGAGCCGCGGCGTGTGACGTCGAATTGCCGTAGGAGAAAATCTATCTATATAATAGAATGGGGTGGTATAACGAACATCAAAGAAAGTTCGAAATCCCACGCCCACTTGACGCCTACGGTCATGCTCATTGCCGAGCCATGGCCGAGAACGCGCCGAGCCGAGAAGAGCCCCGGTAGATGAACCGTGCCGCGGCCGGGCCGAGCCAGGCACAAAGAAGCCGCAAATGTGGTGACCAGTACACTTTGCAATGCTGATGCTTGAACTTGCCGAAAAGCAGTGGTGAGGAATAACTGGACATGCATATAGCAATGGCAAGGGTCAGGACCAGAGGAAAGATAATGCTGGAAAGAAGAGGCCTCCGAGACAAAAATGTTGTTTGCAGCCTGAAGGCAGTCCTCTAATAATCTTGCTAATAACTCACTTTTAGTTCAACTTATCCATGCCTGTAAATTTATTCATAGGGATGGGACAGGCTCATGGCAAAAGCTCAAAGACAGGGAGGAGGAGTTGAGGAGGAGCAAAAGGGGTAAGTCAAGGGGAAAAAAGGTCTAAGAGCATGAAATGACTGAAAACCAACTCAATAAATTTCTTTCAACTTACCAACGCCCGTGAATTTATTCACAGGCTTGAGCTAGTGATTGTATAATGAATGAGGTTCGCAAGTAAGGTTCATTAAACCTCGGCTTTGGGCCCGATTGAGTCCCCGCGACGTATTTCGGATTCATCCGATAGTGGCCTCGGACGACGGGAAGGTATTCGGGGTCAGTGAGTAATTTGCAACTTCCGAACACAAGTTTCACAATTCGATTTCGATCTCGGACTTGCAGTGACAAATTTTATTTATTAGGAGTCAGGACGTAGTGGCCTCGAAGATTTTCGTTCATCGTATTTGTATCTTTCAACATTTCCATTATTTCCAAGTCGAACTTGATGTTGGTTTGTTTACAGTCACCAGTGTGATGTCATCAGTGCTTATCTCATCTTTTCATCTCACCCACCACTGCCGCAGGGTGCATGAGTTCTCAGAGGTTTCCGAATGAACTCTGGCTCGAGGTCTTTTCCCATCTCCCCCGAGATACTCTCAAGGCCGTTTCCTTGGCTTACCGCACTTTCCATCGCTTGTCGCGCCCCGCCCTTTTCCGTGACTTCAAATTCCACCCGTATGCGGTCCACATAGACAGTGGCGGTGTCTTGGCTGGTCTTCCACCCAGTGCGGACGTCAACCGTTCCTTAGGGCGTCTGAACTTCTGGTGCTCCGACGAAATAGCGCCTTTTGTTCGGATATGTCGCATCATTCCGTGGTACCCATTCTTTACGAATTCTAGGTTGGTATTTTCGACCACAGACACGCCATACACCCTGCTATACGCGTTGTTTGAGCGCCTTCCGTGCTTTACCGGTCTGAAGCGGCTCTTTGCTGAGCACGCTCATTTCACGCAGACCGGAGTGACCAATGTGTGCCGCTTGCCCACCCTGTCCCGTTTGGACCTCGTCCTTTGCAGCGTCGCCCCCGGAGAACACATCGACCCATCCACGCTCGGCTTGAGTGTATCTAGCTGCTTACTCAAGCCATACAGTTATTCGCAGGATGGATTTGATCCCTGGGTCCGGCTGCTACGTCCGGAGCACCTCCGCCAATTCCAGATGTCGTACAATTCACGCTTCTTTAGCGAGAGACTACACACGACCCCTTCCTTTCCCTACGTGCATACACTATCAGCAAAAATTGACTTCTCGAAAATGTCCCAAATCCTCATGAGCCTGTCCAAATTTCCGGCGGTAGAGGTCTTAACATTGGATGGATGGGGGACACTTCCCCTGGGTTTGCAGGCATCTGGTGTATTGCCCCTTCTCAGAGACTACACAGGCTGCACCGAGGCCCTGCATTTATTCCTTCCCCTTTCCACGCTCAGGCGAATCAAGACGACAGACAAACTTAGTGCCAACTACTTCATATCACAGTTAAGAGGCCTGCAGCCGGCCCCCAACATCACCTCGCTGGACGTGACGTTCACGGCGCATTTCAACAATGCGACACTCGATACAATATGTGCATTCTTCGCGCAGCTGACGGAGCTCCGCATACACATCTTCTTGGAGCTCGGAGGTGGGTTCGGGGGCGGGGTCAACCCCTACGTGCGTGTCTCTTTATCCCCTTATTCTATGAATGTACTTAAGCTCGCACATTCAGGCAACTTCATTCCTCAGAAAATTAGCCGTCAACCCGACGCTGCCCCCCACTCTCAAATGCCTCATGCTCCACTGGCGATTCCACTCCGACTTGCCCTACGGCCGGGGGCCCAGCTTCGCAAGCTTGCGCGCCGCCGTTTTGGCCCGTTGTCCTGACTTGACATCGGTTTGGATCGACGGCGAGGATTTCCTACTCAGTTGGAATAGGTGGTCGGATGGCACGGAGGTCGGACGCATTGCACACAATAGGGGTGAGTGCGTTCAGCAGTAATTATTCTTTTTCTGACTTATGGCGTCTATGAATAGCTGCGGCCGATGCGATGCGCAAAGAGATCATGAAGTGACAAAACGATTCGCCCACGCACTGCGCAGTGGCAGAGAAAGAGCTGTGCGATTCAGTGTTATGTTTGACTGATGCGCTTATACACATTGTCTTGGAACGTTGTGAATTTTGTTTCAAAATTTCCCCACAGCTATTTTCAAACGTGCGTCGCGTCGACTTCAATCGAATCATTGCAGACCCGACTTGACCATCTCACGTGACCGTGTTTCGCACAAACGCAACGCGTGTAACGTGTTTCTTGACTCTTCTTCATCTTGACCGCGTACACCACGTGCACGCCAATTGTCCGTTCTGGCGTGGATGACGGAGTCTACTGGTTTCCACTCCGGACATTCCCCGAAGATTAAGGATACCTTTGCTTTGCGGAGTTACATGTACAGTAAGTAAGCCCAAAGGAACTGAGTTACCGGGTGAGCCTGCACTCAAAAGGAAGGAAATACTGGTAACACTCAAAAAAGAAAGGTGGGAAAGGGAAAAAATGTTCTGGAATCCCAAATGGCCCAGCCCCGAATTGAACAGGGTACTTCCCCTAATGCTTCAAAACCCATGGGTACAAATAAGAGGATGTGTTGCCAGTACACCACTGGGCCATGGCTGTGAAGGTATAACTTGAACCAAGTTCTGAGCCTGAGTCCAATTAGTTCAAATACCTGTTACTACCACAAGTTACTTTAATTTGCTTCGACTCAGAATTTTCGGACCTAAGTTACTAGTAAATAGCACCGAGTGACCGGCAGAATCGGGGCTCGGAAGGAAGGAAATACCGGTAATCCCCTGAAAAAAGCAAGGAAGGAAAGGGAAAAAGTGTTCTCGAATCCTGCAGCATGACCCAGCCCCGAATTGAACGGGGGCTTCATCATGATTCCAGTTGTATTTCAGACTAAGAAGAGGATGTGTTGTCACTACACCACTGGACCTTGATTGTAGAAGTATAACTTGAACCAAGCTCTGACTCGAGTCCGATTAATTCAACTACCACACTTTGCTTCGAATGTTCGCACCCAATTACAGGAACTTTCAAAAATAAAAAGCAACCCACACTAAATGTTGGCCATCAGTTGGAACAAGGATCCTCTTCAAATGTATTCCTTTACTTCCTTCTATTAGGTCGAGAAGATGTGCTGACATTATATCACCAAGCCATGGATGTCTACTTGTCTGAGCTCTCTATGCCAGGACGAAATATTTCACCATGGGAGATCGCCGCCCGTCTGATCGGATCATCACCGGATCACCTGGCCTTCGGCCGTCCCTCCGCCAACTTGAAGTTCAATGGTGCTTCACTGCCTACATTTCCGCGAAGAACTTAGCACACCCATCTCTGACGAGATCCTACAACGTATTGGCAGCCGGACGAAGGACGACACTGTAGCCTATCTCCGAATACGTCACCTCCCCGACATACCTGTGAATGGCGCTCTGCGAACGATAGCGTTTTTACAAGTTCTTTTTCTGACGAGATCTTACAGCATGCTGGCAGCCAAAAGAAGGACGACACTGGGGCTTAGCCTATTTCCGCCCCGGATACGTCGCCTCCCCGATATACCTGCGAACGTAACTTACCATCGAACGAGGAACTTGTCTATCCTTCCTTTTTAACCGTTCATCTACTTCAATGATCTACTTTACTTCAAGCCTGAAAGCTTGACGAAATCTGAACGCAGCATCTATGCCGAATCGGCGCCTTTTACTCCACAGAGCGTCTCGTGCATCTGTCGACTACGGAGCTCGTCAACCTTTTTTTGGTCAACTAACTCTTTTGTCACCCGCATCAAATCGATCCCATTCAAAATTATTCTGGCGCTTTGCGATATCATTGGTGGCCTCTTCATAACTTGATCTTCCCAGCTAGGTCGACAGGATGTCGGGTCCGGTGTGGCGACCGCGGGAGTCCACAACTGGCTTAGCCCGCAAAACCATGTCGCAGGCCAAAGCTTGAGTGAAGGAATCCGCCTGACTGACTCTTGGAGGCAACTACTTCGCGCGTTTCTGTCGAATAAACCCACGACTGACAACCCGAGGCGAATTTACACATAAAAGCCGTGCAACCTGCACTGACGTCGTTCCACCCTGCCCTCGATGTCCCTCTCTGAACTATTCGCTTTGGGGGCTCTACTTTTCTGGGCTATTTTCTTCATCCTGCGCTTTGGGCGCCGTGAACACGGATTGCCGCCGGGTGAGGGCAGGTCCTCAAGGGGCGGTTTATAGCACTGATTGCCGTCCCCGCAGGCCCACCGACTGCCCCGTTGCTCGGGAATGCACACATGCTGGGCGACGCAAAGGACCTGCACCTGAAGTGCGCAGCTGTATTAAATTCGCTTTTCCTGTCCTTAATTAACGTAGGATCACGGAATGGGCGCGCTGCTACGGAGATATCTATTCTGTATATCCGAACATCACCGCTATAATTGCCAGTATATTGACTGCATTTCACAGATTAAGGTCGGCTCAGGGACGACGATCGTGCTCTCTAGTGCCACTGCAATCAAGCAGGTAGTCGACAAGAACGGCTGGGCGGCGAGCTCACGTCCCGGGAACTACATCGCCGAAATTAGTGGCTCGGGTGGCGACTTCAACATCCTCTTTACCACCGAGTGTGCGTTATCTTGATGGATTCTGGAATCCTGCTAAGATGCCTGGAAGCCCCACGCCTCAAGAACCTACGACGGCTTATTACACGCTTTTTTTCTCCGCATAACGTAGCGAGATACGTCCCTGCACAAACCGCGGAAAGCACAGTTCTTCTACATGACCTCATCACGGAACCTGCGGTGTGCAACCTTACCTTCTAAGCTGAGTACACCCTCAATTGAATAAACGCAGACTTTTTCGAATTCCATCCGCCGATATACTCATTCGCTTGCCAAGGTACTGTATTAATCTACGTCGGCTGATATAATTTCACTGCGCACATCAGATCATAGCCTACGGCCAGCGAGCACCATCGTTCCACGGAAGCGAAGTGCAACGCTTTTACACGGTGTGGCCTTTGCGATGGTTTCCTAGGGAATTTAGTTTTAATGTTGTCTTCCAGTCACTCGACGCGCTCACCCATGCATTGGCCCCGGGCGCATACCCACCATTCGACTTCATCCCCGTGCTCAAGTATCTCCCGCCACCATTTGCGCCATGGCGCGCTGTGGGCCGCAAGATAGAATCCGTGCGCACGGAGATTCACACACACCTGTACGAAACAACGCGTCGCCGCCAGGCTGCGGATGATGAGGAGAGCACCGAGTGCTTCATTGGGAAGGTCCTTCAGACAGAGATCCCTGCCGGCGAGGAAGAATACTACTCGTAAGTCTCCGTCAATTCATCTCCCCTTCTTTCCAGCCGTCCCTCGCAATGTTGAGATCGAAACCAACGTCCCAGCTACACCGGCCTCTCGATCCTCGACGCAGGGTCCGACACTAGTGGCGCCTTTATCCTCTCTCTAGTCCTGGTGCTTGCTACGTATCCCGAATACCAGGAGCGCGCTCGTAAGGAGATTGATGCGGTTGTGGAAGGAACGCGTCTGCCCGTTCTCGCCGACTTTCAGGAGCTACCGTACCTCAATGCATTGATCAAGGAGACTCATCGCTTCAGGCCGCAGTTCCCGATGGGTATCCCGCATCTGATGACGTTGAATTCACAGTACAAGGACTACATCGTGCCGAAGGGTGCCGTTCTCCTGCTCAATACATGTTCGCAAAGATGTTGCACGAGATGAAATATGCTTGTGCTTACTATTGCTGCTGTAATAGACGGACTCTTCCACGATCCAGAAATCTTCGAGGACCCGGGGATATTCAACCCCGACCGATTCCTCGATTCAGAGCACGGAACTCGCCCCGGAGTGGACATTGACTTTCGCGACAATTTTGTCTTTGGAGGCGGCCGCGTAATATTTTATCTACCAACGTTAGCTGACGCTCACTAGTCGTAGCGAATATGCCCCGGCCAGTGGGTCGCTCAATCTACGATCGTCAGCATCGCACATTTGTTGTTGTCGCTGAGCGTCCTAATGCCTATCCTAGAATCTCGCGGCTATGCGCTTGATATGGGCACTCAAATTCGGAGCAGCGACCGATCCGGCGACGGGCGAGCCTATCTCGCGAGATCTCAGCTTTTATTCCTCCGCCGTGCGCTGCTTTGATGCTGATTTTCGTCCCGGCACGCGTTTACTCATACAATGCAGGACTTGGTTGTTATGCCCCGCCCGTTCAAGTGCGCGATTGAGCCACGCAGCGCAAAACATCGTGACGCCGTCGTTCAGGTTTTGGAGGATGCTAAACTCTACTTGGCACGTTATGAGCGCAAATGAACCGCTCGAATCCGTACAGCACAGATTCATGCATTCCGTCGTGCTATATTATTGTATTCAACGGCACCTACTTAGGTAGGTAGGTATATTACGGCGCGGTCCCGTTAAGAAACAACCCCGGGCCCTGACTACATATGTACAACGCGTCATGTGTATACTACGGATACTATCACTTAGGAGTCGCCTGGATCCACAATTGTATTCTTTATTTGTGTTCGGAATTGTGAAGGCACCCTGAACCTGTATCCCGAGAGAAAGATTTTGATCCATGGCTCAAAGACTATTTTCCAAGTTCGAGGGAACAATTCGATTCTTGTCGAATCTGTACATCGCAGTATGTCCGGAATTGTAAATCTTAGCAGTGAGCACCTTACATCTACTTATCACCAACAAGGTAGTACGGGTCGACATCGTCAGGAGCTACGGTAGGAGAAACGAGACGGGAGGCAAATATTATGAGAATCTAATGCGGCAGTGTTATTGCCCAACTGCGAAGGAAGGGACCGCTTTGCTTCGCATCTCGATCAGAACTTGAACGGAAAGGTCGCTCGCAACCAACGGGTGCGCAAAACAACACTTCGCGAAGAAATCTTGATGATTGTGAAGAGCGTTCTGGAACGAGAGAGGGTCAATTTCATGTAGATAAGGGCGATCCGGGGGCTTCGGGAGAGTGGAGATGAAGCCCGAGAACGCCACACAAGAGCACAGCCAAAGGCTCGTGTGAGGGCGAATCGAAGATGACCGAAACCACTCAAATGGCAGGAGCTGGGTGACAGATGGAAAAAACAGAAACAGAAACAAGACGAATGGAACGACGGACTATCCTATCCCCAGGGGTCGACAAACGGAGCTGAACGAGCTTGCAACAAGCATGAACAGTATGCCTGATAGTAAACAAAGACAACCGGTGTGGCAGCTGCCCAGATCTACGGAGGCAAACGGGCCCCAGACGGACATGGCAGATCATTCCGAACAATCTTGGATTTGGTGATGCCGCGCACCCAGCGAGATGAAACGGGAACGGAAAGGGATAGCCTGAGGATAGTGCTGAACGACCTCCGACGAGGTGATGTGTACTAATTCAGTATAGAGCACACACCCAACAGATAAAACTTCAAAACACTCCGGGACCCACCCGAAGCATTGACAACGAAAAGAAAGCAAAAGAATCTGAAGGAATCAACTCAGCTTGAGACCACAGAGCTCTGAATGGTGCATCAAATCTCGAAATCTCAAAAAGCCAAGTTTGAGGAGAACATCCAAAGAACATCGGCAGAAATGTCGGCGTGGCAGAGTCCAGCCCAGAAGTGTCGATTCAAATAGCAGACTCGAACGCAGGATGAAAAAGCGCCAGCATACCAAGAAAGTATAGAGAGGCCTTGAAAGAGGGCGCCAAGCGTCAAAAAACTGCGAAGTGCGCTCAGCAGCTGCCAACAGCGGAGAGAGTGAGCGGCGCAAGCAGAAACGAATAAATCTCACCCTCAGACGGAACTGTATAATGAATGAGGTCACGGTTCGCAAGTAAGGTTCATTACAGTAAACCTCGGCTTTGAGCCCGATTGAGTCCCGACGACGTATTTCGGATTCATCCATAGCCTCGGACGACGGGAAGGT